TTTTTTAACTGCATATATTAACCACACTGCGATAATAATGACAATAGGGATGTCAGGATTAACCAGATTTACGATAATCGTAAGAATTGTAAAAACTACGATATCTAACTATGGTCACCTGCCTCTCGTGAGTCACGTAATTAGTGTGTGCGCTGTGCGCTGAAATCTCTTGCGGGTCACGTTCCGAGTGCACGAGCCACTGAAACGTTAGTTGAGAAGAGTGAACTGACTTAAAGGCTTTATTTCCACCAACGCTGAATAAACAACTCCATCGGAGGAGTTCCCAGCGAGAGGAGAAAAACTTGTTTACTTTTGGTTTCTGACCAGGGGTGTGTGTATGTGTCAAGAGCACACACACACCCTCTCTCTCTCTTTTCCTATTGACCACCATAAATGTAGCCGAGAGTTTATTTCTCCTGCACTGAAAGGTAATAGTATAATAAGGACATGAAGAATGTGGCTTGTAAAAGAAAACTTCCATTGCTGACACTTCAAAATAAAACTCCTGCACAGATACACAGCTTATGACAGGAAACACAAATTTGGTGACCAACCTTCCACAATAAGGCAACTAAATAAAATTGCTTAGATAAATTGCTTATATAAACGTTACACTATAAAAATTAACTGGATAAAGTTGATAATAATAAATATTTTAGTTCATAAGCTATATTATTTACTATCTATTAGCTATATATTGCTTGTTGTGAGTCTTTTTTCTTCTATAGTATCGATAATCGTGAAAACCGTGAAGCCGTGATATTTCCTAGGACAATCGTGGCACCAAAATTTCATATCGTGACATCCCTAGTTGTGTCTTTTTGCTTCTATAGTATCAATGATATATCGTGAAACCGTGATATCTCCTCTGACAATAATCGTGGCACCAAAATGTCATATCGTAACTGACAACCATGATCATTTGTTCATACCATTTCATCTCTAGTTGTGGGTTTGGGAAATAGATTTATATTGGGTGCTACAAAAAATATATAATTATAATTCACACAAATGGCACAGGTTTTTAAATGAGTTTGTTGAATATTTCAAACAAGTACTTGCTTATTGTGTTTGTAGGCTCACAAGTCTTAACCCTTCTCATTACCTGAACAACTGATACTGACTGCTGCTTTTGGTGTCTGATTTCTTTAAATTTATGATTGTTAGAGCTATTATCACCTTCACAGTGTTGAAGTGTCCTGTCAGAGGCGTTCTAGTGTTGGGTGAGTCAGCTGGCAGCCTGTAGTTTGCACTTTGTTTATGTGTTGGGTCATAATCTCCTATCAGGATGACTGTTCAGTTGGGTTGCTGCTTATCAGGGGCTGGATTTGTCTAGGCCAGCAGATTAGTCACACTCAAGCTGTTATCTGAAGAGCTGTTATGATGGCATCGCTTCATAGGACACATACAATCTAACTACTTTTGTCCAAATCCTTTATCATGGCTGTCTGTTAAGCAAGGAGCTAATCCTTCTGTGTATATACGTGTTGTGGCAGAGAGAGGCTGTGTGTTCCTGGTCAGCCTCTCTCTGCATTTCCAGCACTGTCAGGAGATGGGACGGTTTGCTTAAAGCATCCTCCCCAGGTTGTGGGCTCTCCCAAGGGAGCATGCCCATCCTCATTCTCTCTTCCTCACCCCGGCAAACTCAAGATAGGTCTGTTTTCTGTCAGCACTGTCTTTCACCCTGCAGTGTTTCAAAAGGGAGGCTGGGTAAAGCCATGCTACTGTTCAGGTCGGAGATCAAATTTTGCATCACACAGCGCATACCTGAAACCAGGAAACATAGTGTTTTTCCAAGTACACTCAAAAGAAGCCAGATGTAGAAAGAGATGTTGCACTCACAGAGCTACAAACATTCAGATAGGATGGGATTATGGTATCGTCCAGGCATGTGCTAATACGTCTTACCACAAGCTTGCACAGTTGGAATCTGCTGATCTTCCTCACAACTACAACATATATTGGCTTCACTCACCACTTAACATGTAATGATGTGAAGTGTCCAAAAGTGGTTGTCACCAGGTTCACTTGGTTCTTACAAGCTCTTAAGAACAATAGCATAGTACAGCTTGACTAAACACTTTCCCTAAGTTCAAGAACAAACTTTCTTTTCATAAACTTCCTCACGTTTTCAAAGCAAAACTAAACAGTAGGAGGCTTTTGAGTGAGAGCATTACAAAATTTGTGAAATCACTCTCAACTTCAAAACCAAGCTCTTGAATAAAGATAGGAAAAAAACAATTTCCATAGTGTTTTTATTAAATTATATTACATTTCATTTAGCTGAAGCTTTTATCCAAAGCAACTTACAATTAGTTATTTAGCATTATTTCGAGACAACTTTCAAACCTGGCCTTCTCACTGCTTTGTCATGGTGTAAGAGTATTAGATACAAGGGACTGTTGATGGTGAATTTCTTGGACCTGCCAACTACTTGACAAAGCCAACATTAAAGTGTTCCTGTATCAGATCTTAAATGAATATGAATCTGTGATATCTATCAAAAATCAATCAGAAACAATAGCAAGACAAAATATTATTTCAATGGACTAAATGGTAATGGTGGCATTATATTAATGATACTGTTGAAAATAACAGTCAGAATTACTGACTGACATGACATATCCATTGTTTTTGGAAATATGACTTGTTATCTCTAAACCGATGATCCACCTTACTCCCATGCTTTAGTGTTAAAAACTTTTTTTTTCTGCTTCCCTAATGCCAGAGCTCACGGGGCTAGAAAATGTCCTGCAAAGTCAGGTAACTCTTTATGAGAAGCCAGCTGACATTAATGCTGTCCTTGATTTTATGGGGGCAGAGGGAGGTGGGAGAGCAGAGACACTTAAAGGTTTAAAGTAGTCATTGCCGCAGTGGCATACTTTGACATAAACATTACGTTTGCACACACGTACACACAAAGACTCACATTGAAACATAAAGAAATTTCCCAATGTTAAATGACGTTATACATTAACCTTTCCTCCCTGTCTGTTGTTGTCCAGGTATGGTATAGCACCTGAGAACATCATCCTGTACGGTCAGAGCATCGGTACAGTGCCCACCGTTGACCTGGCTGCTCGCTATGAATGTGCCGCTGTCATCCTACATTCTCCACTCATGTCTGGACTAAGGGTGGCCTTCCCTGATACACGCAAGACGTACTGTTTCGATGCCTTCCCCAGGTGAGTCTCACACACCACAGCAACAGTTACCCAGCCAACTAAAAGCCATAGGGCTGGGAAATAAACCGACATTTATAACTTCTAAGGGACCTCATTTTGCTACTTTCCCCAGTGCGTGCATTAACGAACTGTCAGGTTTCCGCGATGTTCCGTGCCAGATCGTTCAGCTGCATGTCCTCACTACCCTGCTGACCTGCACTCACGTTAAAGGGGTAGTTCACCCGAAAATGAAAATTTGCTCATTATCTACTCACCACTGCGCCGATGGAGTAGTGGGGGAAGTGTTTGAGTCCACAAAACACTTCTGGAGTCTTAGGGGTAAACAGCGTTGTAGCCAAATCCAATACAGTTGAAGAAAATGGCGACCACTTCTTCAGATGTAAATAAAACAACAGAAGAAAAACATAAAAGGGTTTAATACTGTTCCTGTGGTCTCATCTAGTGTCAAGAAGCCCTGACATTCAAATGTCTGCGGTTGTCATCCTTATTCTCATGAGAACTTGTGAGTATTGCAAGAACTCGCCATTGCTGCAGTTACTGCAGCAGTATCTAGGAGGACAGCAGTGTACATTTAGGCTAAAAACAGTGTGTAAATCACACCGTTTTGAGTTGAATTTGAATGTCGTGGCTTACAGACACTAGAATGACACCACAGGAGCAGTATGGAGGCTTTTTTTTTTTTTGTCTGTTGATTTTGACGTATGATGAAGTGGTCGCCATTTACTTCATTGTATTGGAGCTGGCTTTGTTTTGTAGACTTAACTACTTCGCCCATCCCTCCATCGGCATAGTTGTGAGTAGATAATGAGGGAATTTTCATTTTTTCACTTTAAGTATTAACAGCAACACTAATAAGTTATTAGGACACTTAAGTGACAGAATGTGAAATTGACTTTGTGTTTGTTTGATTGGCTTTAAAGTTTAGGATACACGTATTTAAACACATTGAAAAAAGTCCAACCTTTTGAGCATACACAGTTTACACACACAACACCAGATGTAACATGACACACACAGCCAGGACATCATGGTTAAAGTGACCAGAACAATCCGAATTCATGATCCGACATCATCAATTAATAACTAAATAAATGTGATCGTCAGTTTGTGTGGAGCACAACAGGGAGGAGAAGACACGCGCACACGCAGGAGTGTGTCCCACACTGTAAGAGACTGTAGTTGCACTAGTACGCTGAAGAATATCTGATTAATTTACATAATTGTCTAGTTCTCAAATATCAGATACTATGACATATTCAAACCTATTTCCAGGAAAAACATAGTATCTTCTCTCCTATGATTTTTAATTGTGAAATGTCAGTGCAGTTTTGACCAAGGATTTCGTTGAAGGCTGGGCAATGTAGCTCGTAAATTGTTTCCCACACATCCCCCAGCTCCTCCGGGGGGGGTTCTCAAGTTGTCAGGACATGCAATCCCTCCGATGTGATCTGGGTCTGCCCTTTGGTCTTCTCCCAGTTAGACATGCCTCAGAGAGGATGTCCAGGTGATATACTTCTGTGAAGGCTGAACCACCACAACAAACTCCTCGACACAAAGGAGCAGCAGTTCTCCTTGAAGCGGTTTTCCTCATGTATGTGTCTCCCGGGAAAAGCCAGGTCTCTCTGCCAAGTAAACTCCTTCTGGACATGTTTTTCTCTGTTCTATCATTATTGCATTCACCTTCCAGATCTCTGAAGGTCAGAGTGTACTGTAGATAGACTGGTAAATTGTATAGCTTCACCTTCAATCAAACGACAATCATCAAGTACAGCTCAAAATAATCCCCAAGACACTAGAACTATCGATGAAGCAGCTGAACAAATGAATGGAGACTGCAGACATCAAGTCATCCAAGGTTCATCTTTTTCCTTGATGGGCATGCTGTTTTTTTATTTTTTATTGACTTATTATTATTATTGAACCTGTGCAAAGAATACATGTACGAACATTTTGGAAACGGGAAAATGTCAATGCTGACGTGAAGCAGATTATTGATCCACTTCATTATTAACATTAAAACCAACAGCGCTATTTGTGCTTGTGTGACATAACTGTTCCATAAGAACCTTCAATTGAAAAAGATATAAAACAACTGACAGCCAATTACGTTTACATAATATTAAACAGCATAGTGGCAAAGTGGAGTCATTAATAGTTTTTTATATCATCTATGAATGTATCATTAAGGATGAGTGTGTGTAAAATCACTGCAGTGATCGTGACTGTGCCATCAGGTGCACAGAGCGCACTGGAGAACACTCTCAAATAGACTTCTATTCTCAAATAAGATCCCAGAGTGAACACTAATGTGAGAAGTAATTGGTCCGATGGCTCTAAATATATAAATACTATGGTGACACTCCTGCATAATGCTGCGTGATAAATGCACGCGAATGGAAGGATGAGGAGGAAACACAAAGATTTTTTGTCCCATAACGATGATTGATCTGCTGATATAGATTCTATAGATCTGTGATCTTGGATCTTTGTGCTGAACTGAGTCCAGTATTAGATCAACGGAACTGAACCATCCCAGTATAAACCCAAGCATTTAATAATAATTCTGTTATGTTTTATAGATTGGGGAAATCAGAGTTGTCTCTGAATTTAATAATCCTGCAGTTTTGGATGATTCAAATAGTCGACATAAAAAGTTCCTCCACATTCTGACAGTGTGGGGCGATTATTTTTTTGCCTCCACCTTTGAATTAGATTTTATTTTATTTCAGGCTGCGTTCTCTCTATCGTCCTCAATCTCACTCACTGTGTTAACAGCAGCAGTGTATCAGAGTATTTTCTTTATCAGTGACGTCACTGCTGTCCCATTAAATCACTCTTCACCTCCACCTCACTAACAAACACCTCCTTTAATCGCTTGATGCCATGATTCACTGTGGAGACCCATTGGTCAGCAGTATAATTTAATATTCAGGAGGTGCTTCACATTGACCATTGCCTATGTGGGTGTGTAGAGGGCGGGATATGAGGCAGATCCAGGTCTCAACGTTTCCAGGTGCACTGTGATTCATAAAGTGAACATTGCTTTCAGGTGTGCACATTTTTATAAATCAGATTTGTTTTTTTTGAGTAAGCCATTTTTGGCTTTTGTGTGCACGTACACTTTTAGTATGAATCCTACGCATTGTTTTGTAAATGAGGCCCCAGATTTCACACTGTTTTCCCTGGAATCACTGTGATATGACCCAGCTCAAAGTGCACAGGTACTAAATTTATGCACCCCTGACTTGTATGCAAGTGTGTGACAGTGATTTGTGATAACAAACTTATCTGATTTTGATAAGTTAAATAAATGATTCCTTGTGTGTAAATATTTTTTTCAGAATGACTAAAAAAATCACCGGTGATCAAGTCATGGAATTACAGCCTAAAGTTCAAAGTAATAGCTTTTAATATACCGAAGTTCTGAGGAACTGCTGTTCAAATGTTCCTTGCTGCAGATGGTTCATCTTCTCACCCCTGCTTGGGAGTCAGCAAAAGAAACATGCTGTTGCATGTATTAAGTGTTGTCAAAGTAGGATATTAGGGTGGATTGATCATTTTAATCAGTGAAATCCGTTAAACCATCTGTAAGATTAGTGTTAATAAAGCAGGAGCTGCCGGACAACCTAATGTAGCATAGTTAATCAGTGTCACACCCACTTCTCTAGGAGGAAAGAAGCAATTATTACACATCTCTGTGTTTCATTAGCTTACACTGGCTGTGTGCGAGGCAGGGATTCTGTGAATCAAGTGAAATGGGTTATTTCAGACACTCTGAAAACAACAGATGACTTTACCTGGGCCTTAGCTATGGTCCCTACACTAATACAGCTACTTAAGTATTGTCAACGTTTTTAGCAATACGTTTACATAAAGAATGTCCAATTTTAACGCAACAAAGTACATATTGCACTGTGACACATATGACACTTACAGTATTTATAGAGCAACATCTTGGAGATGGCAATCAGTCAATTTACTTTGTTAGTTAACAAGATCCTGTCTCAGACAAAATGTAGGAGTAGTGTCCTGTTGGAAGATGTCAGGAGATGGCGATCAGGCCTCTGTTCTCTGAGAGAAGAGATGTCTCAGAAGCACTCACAGACAGTGAGTCCATTTAACACAAGTTATTTTGTGACTGACAATTAATACACTTTTTGGAATAAGCAGCATGAATTCCAACCATGATGGCAGACATCAAAATGTATCACACTAACAGATGTAAAGTATAATAATAGATTGGCAGTGAATTACATGAGGTACGTAGGGCTCTCAAGAGACATCACAGTATGACACTGCATGTTGAAATTCTGCACCTTATCAAGCATAGTTATTCATACTAGCCATGTATCAGTAAAGTTTATGTAAGCAAACCTCTGTTTGATTGAAGTGGTGTGTTTGTCTTATATGTATCTGTTGAGAAATCTTGCACGCACTTCTATGACGTATCTGTGGGAGGCCAACTGCAAAACAGTCAGTAATTTCTTAACACTGTCATTATTACTCCCCTTGTGTTTGTTGAGCCAAGCTCAAAAGATAGTTTCTGACACATATTTTGCAAAACAACTGAGGCATCCGCACAAGCCACTCTCTTGTTTCGACCACTAGTGCTGATGCTATTTCAGAGCAAAAGATTTATGAACCTAACAGACATAAATACAGAAAGCTCACATACACAAATAACACTGAAAGTTTCAGTTTGCATTACTAGCTAAGTTAAAGGTTCAGTGTGTAGAATTTAGTGACATGTAGAGGTGAAGTGTCATGTTGCAGCTGAATACTCCTCATTTCATCCTCCCCTTCCCAAAATGATGGAGAACCTGTGGTGAACTTCAGTTGTACCCCCCCACCATGTAAATATAAAGTATTTAAATATAAAGGGCCATTCTATGATAAAGAAAACAATGAAACACACCAGTGAAAACATCACTAGGATTATTTTATATTCAATTTCTGCCAAAAATCCCTTCCACCTAAATCTTACACACTGGACCTTTAAA